AATTTTGAAATTTTGATGACAATTTTTTGAAGTTTGATTAATTTTTTTTACATTTTGTGCAAGCTTTGCAACTTTTGTTATTGTGGTTTTTGAAATAGATTGAAATATATTTCAAATGAAAATTATTAAAAATAAATAAATAAACATAATTTGCAAGCAATATCGTTTTGAATTTCGTTGCTAATTAGTTGCACGCATCTGTANAAATTATTAAAAATAAATAAATAAACATAATTTGCAAGCAATATCGTTTTGAATTTCGTTGCTAATTAGTTGCACGCATCTGTACATACATACATAATAAACTTTTAAGAAAATGCGCGTTATGTCATCGCTGTTTAGTGACTGAATATACGTATATACATACATACTAAAAATATAATCATCTTCAAACGCTAATATTTATGTATTTGCGCGTATATGTACGAATAAAGCATTATCGCACGTCTAGAAATGTCAAATGCCATACATTTTTGCACTAGCACGTACAAATGTATGCAATTATGCACAGGTAAGTTTACTACTAACTACATTAATAACTCGGTGCTACAAAAAAAATTGTTCGCATGTACTTCATATGTCAAGGAGTAGTAGAGGTGGTACAACAGGTCTAAACAATAATTTTGGCATGAACAGAATTTCGGGATGTTGGGTCAAAACGGCATTCATAAATTCGGTAAATTGCTCTAAAATCTCACAACTTTTTACTTTTTCAGTTCAGAGAATATGTCGCCACTACTCTAAATGATCATGCGCGAATAAAAGTAATATTTGTTAATCAGAGGGCATTCTTGGCGGTATCCACCTAATTTCCGTGAAGCATAAATGCCATTCGGGTCCGCACGCACCAGTGGATTTTAGTCGCCTTTTACGACAAGCATGTCTTACGGCGGGTATATTCTAAGCCCCTACAATTTTCGTTTACTTTAACTTTCTCATAGAGAGAGAGGCATGACAACAACCACATAGAAGAAAAAGTTCAGAACTAGAACGATGAATTCGCCTTAATAAGTCTCTTTTAACTTCGATATTATTAAAAAAAAATCATTATTTTAATAAGCTGAAGACAGACGATTTTGATCAGCCGTTTTTTTTTTGCTGGCAAATTGCTGCTAGAAAGAATTTTTGCAGCAGGAATTTTCAACTGCGTACGCGAACTCCAAATCATGATAATTTCTAATAATTATCAATAATAATCAGGTTATCAAACAGACTCGGCGGCCGCTGTGGTGTAGTGGTTAGCAGTGCGCGCTACCATACCGCAAGGACTGGGTACAAGCCCGGTTCAACCTTACATCATAAAAATAAAAATTAAATAAAACATTTTTTTTCTAATAGCAGTGGCATTCGGCATGCAATGGCAATCCTCCGAGTGTATTTCGTAAAACTGTAGGTCTGGTCCTCTTTGTGTGACAACAACAAGGCGCAAGCCACAAATCGGAAGAGAAACTCGGCCAAACACTAACATAATATGTTTGTGTAAGCGCCAATCTTTTATTATTATTATTATCAAACATTCCCAAGGAGCTTTTAAAAATTATCTGCCCTTTGTGAACAAAATTTGTGTTTAAATTTTAAGTCGCTTGAGAAATCGGCCCGAAATGCAAAAGAGCTGCTTGCCTGAGAAGTTTTACTTTTGCTATTTTTCAGTCAGCAATTCAAGCCCTCTCTTTAAGTAACAGTATTTGACAGCGGAACGAAAAAAAATTGGCTTTTTGTTTGACATATTATATTATATTTGTAATAGTTCCGCTCACATTTTTATTTTGATCGCAGCTACATATGTATATGTACAAAAAAAGTTTAAACATCCACAATACCATTTCTGCACGTACATACAGTGGCGAAAATATAAATAGGGCAGAGACATTTTAGCATTTTTTGGCTATTTTCCTTTCGTTTATTTAATGTTTATTAATTTTTTATGAAGGTGTAGTTCGGTATCTAACAAACCTACGTAAGTCAAACCTTGTACAAAAATTTGGAACATTCGACAAAGTTTCATCAAAATTTTGAGCTTTTGAGCTTTGAGATTTTTAGAAACATTCTGGGTATGCAGTTTTGTAGCCCATTGAATTTTAGTATAATAAAGTGCAATTTTTAAGTAGCTAGAACTTACCGTTGATTTTTGACAATTGTGTTGCTCATTTTCTCCATACAAAAAAATTTTCGAACACAATTTGTATGGAAGAAAATGCGTGAAAGTGCTGCTTCAAATTTGCAGTTGTAAAACTTTAAAAAATTTAATGGGCTAAAAAACTGCATACTTAAAAAAATTCCAAAAAATCTGATTAAAAAGTTTAAAATTTTGATTAACAATTTTTAAAATTCGTCGAATATTAGTAAATTTTGTACAAAGTTTTAAATTTGGATTTATGTGGTTATTTTTAGATAGTAAGCTATATTTCCATAAAAAATAATAAACATTTTTTAAAAATACGAAAATAACCCAAACTTGCTAAAATGTCTCTGCCCTATTTACATTCTCACCACCGTATGTGTATACGTACATTTGTATAGCGATGGGCGGGCAGAAGGCGGCCTTTTTATATAGTACATATGTATGTATGTATGTATGTTTTCGCGAAATATTTTGTCAATCAGCTCGCGATATCAGTGGCGATGTCACAAGCAATTTCAATTGCGCTGTCATGCGAACCTTCTGGTTTGTTTGTCAGCAACTGCGATTTTTCGATAATCTGCGTCAAAGGCGACGTGGTCATAAGTGTTGTATTCTAATCGAATTATAAGTATTTTTGTTAAAAACTTAAACAATTTTTAATTTTAGCACAAATTGATTAATTACATTTTAACTTGTCTCTGTTTTTTTCTTTGTTGCTCTGACACCACACATTTGACTGACATGGCTGGAAAGCCATGTATAAATATAGCACCTAATTATTTTAGTATGTCTTGGCATCACGTGAATAATTATTACCACGCCAGTGGAATGGCTGCACATCAAAAACAATAAATTTTATAGATTTAAGTACTATCGCGCACTTATCTGTATGTAGGTATGTACTATATTTCCCTTTGTCTGATGTATATTTCTGTTTCTATAAAAATTAGTCACTTACTGTGACTACGATTATTCTCCTTTGGCTCTTTTATTGAGAACCACAAAAATCATATTACTTCCCGGAAAAATATTTCGAGGACCTTTAAAAAAAAAACTTTATTACATATCGACACCTGAGTGGAAGAAGGATCTATCTTGGGAGCCAGTTCGAAAACGCCCTATCGCAGAGAACTTTTCAAGAACGCTATCTCAGCTGCCCATTCAGAAACGCCCTATTTTCACCTTCAACTTCGTGTATACGAACACGGGACGTTACCCGGTGGCTATAAGCTATGTACGAGGGCAATTTGAAAGGTCAATAACTTTTTTAATAAAATATGTTTTTCCGCAAAAAAAAAGCGTTTTATTTCTCAACATAGTCTCCTTTTCACAATTCCTTCCAAATTATCGGGTTTTCAATGCATCAAAACAAGCATTTGTTTCAGTGAACCTCTTCTTTCGTCGAGTGTTTCGAGTGTGATCATTTTTAGCTTAAATTTCTTCATGTTTTGTTATGCTGCCTTCAAATGAAGCAACCGTTGAAGCTATTGAACCATGTTGGGCTACGTCACACATAGTTAGCATTAAGTTCTTGGTTATTGGGCGCGCTGCCACGTCCATGGAAAGAGTCCTTGATTTCAAAGGTGTAGGAAAGAAATGTTTATGTTTTTCACAAAATTGTTTACATAGTTCAGCGCTCAAGTCATTTCACTTGTCCTGCCCAGTTACTGTGTGTTGCTTTTAATTATTCCACAAAGATTTAACAAAGAAATTTTTTTCAATAAATTCCAACTTTTTTTTAGTGTCAAGTCACTGAAATTTTTTTAAACGAATAATCAATAAAAACCGTGATAATAAAAATAAATACTAATCAAGTGAAGGATATTTTTTTTGAAATCCTTGTTAACCGTAGTTGAAGTCCCATTCATTGGGCACAATGGTGGAATGTTCGTTGTGCTCGCTATTGAGTTTTTTATTCAACTGTATTTACCATGTGATCGGTTGTGCTTTAGAGTACCCGCTGGTAGTAATGGCGCTTAGCTTTCTAATTGCGTTGGTTTTCGTAACAAATATCTTTACGGCAAAATTGATTTGTGATTTCCGTAGTCCGTTACGTGGTGGTGTCCCAGCAGATGGCGGTGGAAGCTGCAATGAAAGTGGGCAAGGCGAGAGAAGCGCATCAACGCAATTTGATTATGGGCCAGATAATGGTAGGATACATCGAATAAATATAATTTCGAGGTACTAATTTGCGTGCAAACTCTTAACATTCAAAGGTCCACATAATTGGCGCTGCTCGGACACAAATCAATCGCCCATAAATATTATCGATGATAATGTGCAAAAATTTCCCATACGTGAATTACTTTGCTGGAATCACTACGATGATTTACCCAACGGCATTATGCTGGAGAATAATGGTCACACAGGTTTTCTGAGAACATTCAGCTTTTCTTTTTAAAATTCAACCACTTAATTTCAACCGCTTTACAGTTGTGCTACGCGCCTCTTATTCAGGCAATACACCCACCGTTAGTGGTGCTGATCTGCTGGCTTGTTATACATTTGTTGAACTGTGCTTTCGCTGGAGTTCATTAGGCAACGATGGATCCGAACACATGCTGAATTACCGCAAATTTCCGCTGGAATTACAGGTTACATGATTGAACTGATTCTTTGCCGTAATATTCGAAGTGCAATTTCAATTCTATT